AATACTGCTATTATTAAGATTATGACTACATAAATGGTCATGTTTTTACTTTTATTCCGATTTTACTCCTGATAATATTTTCAAAGTTAGTACTAAAAAATGAAGACATCAAGACATCATAAGCAAAAAAATGCATTGCTATTCAGTGTATCTTTAGGGAAATGCATGCAACATACAGTAGTTAAGTCAGTTCTAAATACTGTATGTTCCTGGTCTAGGTGCTGCGTTATGATTCTGATGTCATTGACTGGATTATCTGAAATGATCCATGTCTCTTTTCATCTACACACCCACAGCTGTTTCCCTTGGATCTCAGCTCTGGAGCCTCTTGTTTTGGGTGATCTCATGTAATCCAGTGCACACTGTATGCTCTCAGAAGCGGTTAGTGATGCAAGGCAGGCAGTGCCAGCATCTGGTTTTGTCAAATCCTGGCAATGATTCAGCTTACAATTGTGGACTAGAATACAAAGTTTAGTTCCTATTTTAATTGCTCATCCTCTTATGCTGTAAGATCCCTTTTGTTTCATTTCCAAAAGAACCAAGAGAGAAAACTTAACAGTTTCAGTAAAGAGACATATAAACACCTCTATCCAGACAATTCTATCCATCTGGTCGTGGCAGCTATTGAATTGTTCAGGCAAATAATGTCTCATCTTGTCCAGCTGTGAAGGGCAGTTTGTGCATCATGGGCATGTTAACTGCCTCATTAGGGATTAGAGTCTTCAGTCCCCCTGGAATCAGTTAATTGAAAGTGCCTGTGTAAATTGCTGACTGACTATACTGCTGCAAGCCCTATTTTTCAGAATCAAACTTCCCCAGATAGTACAAATGAGAAAGCCTGAAGCACAGTTATTCCCTGTCTTTGCAGTGATTCTATCTGAATGTTCATGCCAGGTATTGAGGAATAATGATATCGGCACACACTCCAGCAAGGCTGTGAGTCGAACATCTCTAATTACTTAGCATGGCAAAGAGCAATATTTTACAAGCTATACTCTCATTGAACCTCTCATAAGTCTTCACTAATATGTTAAAGGTCTCTCTGCCGTACACAGGAAATAGGTTCATATTCAGGGCTGCTATAAGAATTAAATGTGCTTGGCTAGTGTGTACTGCCCTGCAGCAGTAAAACCTCAGCAATGATAAGGTAGAGAAACGCTTGTAATATTGGTAACACACTTTGAATTTACTATAAAACACGCTCATGTAAAAAAAATTGCAGTTGCCTCTGAAAAAAAGTTTGAAATTAATAATAATTCCTTATATTTATATACAGTAGCACGTTTTTAGACTCTCGCACTGAAAGCGCATTACAGGCAATGGGGAACTTTCCTTCACCACCACCAATGTGTAGTCCCACCTGGATAATGCCGTAGTGCAGCAGTTCTCTCACCACACACTAGCTATCAGTGGGGAGGAGAACAGAGTAATTAAGCCAATTTATTGATGGGGATTAGCAGAGGGCCATGCTTGGTAAAGACCGGGGGGAAGTTGTCCAGGAGATAACATCTCTATTCTTTTCGAAATTGATGTGATATTAGTTTAACAGGGCTCTAGGAAGGAGAATGTCAATACCATATCTGGCAGCTGTGGTGTGTAAACATATCTCATTAGCATGTAGGCTGACCTACTATACGCTTTCTCATTACATAAACCTTCCACTTTAAAGAAGCAGAGGTGTGTGGCAGAGACGTGTCCTTCTGTGTGGGGAACGCACTGCATGCTCAACTAAGTCAGGTAACCAGTTAACCAGCAAATTACCCATTTTTTTTCTCATCAAATGGCTTGAGCCATGGTGCAGTAATCCTTCAGCTGTCGTTGGCATGTTCTGATGCCACATGGCGCAGAATGTAATTTCTAATCTATAAATTCCAAAAAGGCTTATCATCTGCTCTGTTTTTAACAGGCTGTGGCAGAAGACCTTGCTCCCCACTAACTACATTATTCTTAACTACGAGAGTTAGGAAGCATAACTCAAAACCGTCCCAAAGGTATAATTAATTATGGCAAAAGAATACTTGTGTTCTTCTTCCGAGGTTTCAATCACTTTATAATAAGTGATTTTTTCTTATTAAATTGAAGGCCCCCTCGAGCAATAAAATTGGTTAATATTGGCTTTTTCTATATGATACCATATGTATGATATAGCCACACAAAGCCAAATACTTCCTCTGTGGTGCAGGCTGGACAACAGTGACATTTTAACAAATATGCTTTGGCATGTTTCTGGTATTTAAGGATTATGGTGGTCATCGTTATTCAAAAGGGATTAACAAAGATTATTGTGTGTAATTGGAAATGTCATGGGACATGTTAGAGTTCCCATTTGGTTTTATACAGCTGTCTCCTGGGATGCAGTGATTTATTTTGATACCCGGGGAATGCACATATGGATGGAGACATAAACAGACAACAGAGAACTTAATGAGACTTACAGCTGTTTGTTACTGCTGCTTTACAATGCAGGGATTTACCTGATCTCCACAGATGCATAGTCATGACAGATATGTAATCTGCTCCTGAATCCATCCTTGTGATTAGAATCTTCCAGGGCCATCTGTTGTGAAGACACATGTGCTTCTGATAGTTGCCTGGTGTCTAATGCCATTATGTTTTGTGGGATGTGAATTTTCACAGCATCTGAACTCTGTGGTACATTTAATAATAATTGTGTATTATGTTCAATTATGTCAATTTACCTTCATCTCCATTCCCTGAATTCTTTCTATGGATTGATCATCTAGTTCAGTTGCTTTCATAGTCTCTTTCTTTCTGATCTTTACCAGTTAAACAATATCTCTTTTAAATATGGAGCTGACTGTGCAGAAGATGTGACACAACTTCAAACAGAAGTATTTTCATACTTTGTCCTATATTTTTAGAATATCGTGATTTCAGTGTTACTGGTGCCAAAAACACCCTTGCGGTTCATATTATAACTGCATTTACAGTACAGAGAAAAGAGCAATGGCTGTGAGTCTTAGAACCTCACAGAGCTGGCATTAAAGTAGTTCTTAGGGAAAACTAAAGTGATGTTTAAAGAATATTCTGTTCTCATAGGAATTGAAGTATTGTTAACGGAATCAAGACAGAAAACTTCAACAATTAATGTGGACTTGGGCCTGTTAACAACTGATAATAGATGTACTGTAAGCAATACAAGAACCAGTATGATTAAATTAATTGAATACGTGTATAATTAATTACCTTGCCTCCATAACAGTACATACACCCTCTTAAACCACTTAGTATAAATTGGAAGTTGGGTCACAAAGAATCATGATTATTGAGACAGTGTTGTTCCTGCTTAAATATATAATACCCTAGTTTGGTGTCCCCCAACAAATACATACCCAGGTGGTGATTTTAACAAGGAACTGAGAAGACAATGAAATAATTTATTGCAGACAGGAGTATTACCAGAATATGCCTCTAAAATGGGGAAAACTCTCTCTGTGACAGCCTGCTGGGGAGCCCAAGGGAAATATGCCCACAAGCTGCTGAATGATTTGTTTGCCAACTACACAAGTGCACTGAGGCCAGTGGAGGACACCGATAAAGCCATGAACGTCACTCTGCAGATCACCTTGTCCCAGATCATCGACATGGTGAGAATGTTCTCATGATGCTTCAGATTAAGGAAGTGGTTTTGCTGCATGGTTTCAGCAGTCTTATGTGCTGCACCAGCAGAGCAGTTTTGCTTAAATTGCTTAATCCATTGCATGATGCCACTAGAGGTTAGAATTAATTTGCGATATTCATGCCATTTTTCCACAGTAGCATACCTGTATAAAATGAAAATTAAGATAATTAATTTATATTATGTGAAATTATTAATGAAATGTTAAATTAAATTAAAGTATTAATATTTACTTTGTATTATTGGTGTGCTAACCCCTATAGAATGTGTATCTGTATAAAAACAGACTGAGTAAGATTGTGAACGTACTGTAGCCAGCAAAATTATTGGTGAACAACAACAACTACAGCGTTCAGACTTTTACATCAAGCAAATGGCGCAGAAGCCCAATATAATCATTAACTGCCTTGACCACCCAGTGTACAGTGAATATGAGCTCCATCCTTCTGAGCGGTACTTTGGGGTGCCTAGATTCAAGAGCAACAGAACTAAATCCTCTCTTATTCCCACAGCTATTAACCTGCTCAATCTGGATCATTGACTGTATATTTACTTTGTCTGTATATTTTCTTTTTCATCGTACTGTACATCTGTTAAATGCCTTGTGTGTTAAATATATTGTGTAATATGTTATGTCTTTACCTGCCTGCAAAGCAAATTCCCCATTTGGGACAATAAAGTAAGTATCAGACAGACTCATAAAGAAGACTCTTGTCCTTGTAAGTGTTCCTCTCTGTTTCAGGATGAGCGGAACCAGATCCTCACAGCATACCTGTGGATCCGACAGGTGTGGATAGATGCATACCTCACCTGGAATAAGGATGATTATGATGGACTTGATACCATCCGCATACCTAGTAGTTATGTATGGAGACCTGATATAGTCCTATATAACAAGTAGGTCGGACTGGTATTAAGATCATCGGTTTGATCCCCATCCTTTCAACTGTCCGCCCCACACCTCTCTCCTTCCTCATTCTCTCCCTCCACATTGTCGAGGCACAAGGAGGACACTCCTAGAAGCTCCTTTTTCAAGGGAGTGTCCTCGCAGCTGAATATTTCTGCTTTTTACAGCAACATTACTCAGATTGTGCAGAGACCTCAGCTTTGCCTTACTGTAAGTTCTGATATTTCTGTCTTACAAATAACATACCCTAGTGAGGAGGCTTTGAT